CCCCCCCGCAGCGAGCGCTGCACGTTCTGCTCGAAGAGGCGCCGGTTGCTCTGCAGGACCTCGGCCGCCTCCTTGTTCAGGGGGTCCTCGGGGTTCGGCTCCTGGGGGGGCACAGACCCTGTGAGCCCCGAACCCAGACCCCAAAACTCCAGTAGCAGCCCCCCAGAACCCAAAACACTCCCCCCGGACCCCAAATTCCATTAACAGCCCCCCAGACCCCAAAACACTCTTCTTAGACCCCAAAACACTCCCCCCAGACCCCAAGCCCCATTAACACCCCCCAGGGACCCCAAAACCCTTTAAGAGAACCCCAAACCCCATGAACTCCCCCCGGGACTCCAAAACCTGTCCCTGCCCCCCCAGGCCCCTCAGCCCTCCCTGAACCCCCCAGGTGTGTCCCCAGGTGTCCCCATGTCCCTGTCCCCAGGTGTCCCCCAGGTGTCCCCCCAGGTGTGTCCCCGTGTTCCTCACCAGGAACAGGTACTGGAGGCCATAGATGATGGAGTTGATGGTCAGGACGGGCTTCCAGTCCTCCCTACGGACACGTCAGGGACACATAGACGTGGTCAGGGACACACGGACACGGCACCGACACACGGACATGTCAGGGACACGTCAGGGACACATGGACAGACGGACACACCCGGACCCGGGGCAGCCTGGCCACCACAGACACCAACAGGTGGCCACAGCCACGCCAGGGGGGAGCCCAGGGGAGGTGTTTGGTAGCCCCTCCATGGGTTGGTAGCCCCCCTAGATGTCGGTAGCTCCCCCAGATGTTGGTAGCCCCCCCCAGGGCTGTCAGTAGCCCCCCTAGATGCTGGTAGCCCACCTGAGGATGTTGAGGCACACGTTGCCCTCCAGGTCGATGTTGGGGTGATAAACCATCGTCTCGCACTTCACCTTGGGGGGGTCGTGGGGGTACCCCTGGCCCACCTGGGGGTGGGACACACAGTCACCGGTCACTAGCTGGTGGCCACCAGGCCCATCTTGGTGGCCACCAGCCCCCAGGGCCCCCCTTGGACCCACAGCGGCCCCAGCAGTGCCTGGTGGCCACCAGGTGTGTCCCCCCCCCCTCCAAGGCCACTGGTGGCCCAAGAGGGGGCTTGGTGGCCCAGGGACGGATTTGGTGGCCCAGGAGGGGTTTGGTGGCCCAGGAGGGGGTTTGGTGGCCCAAGGAGGGGTTTGGTGGCCCAGGGACAGGTTTGGTGGCCCAGGACTCACCTTAAAGCTGAAGACGAATTTGCCGCCCTTGTAGAAACCCTGAGGGACAGAGAAATGTCACCGGGGGGACATCTGGGGACACTGGGGAACACCTGGAGGGGTTGGGGACACTGGGGGGACCCCCAGGGATGGGAGAGGACAATTGGGGGCATCAGAGGGGGGGACATGGGGACAGTGGGGACCCCAGAGTGACCCGAGGGAAAGGGGGGGACAATCAGGGAGGGACCTGGGGGGGACAGGAGGTGACACGGGTGACACAGGGGGTGACACAGGTGACAGGGGAGGTGACGTTTGGGGACAGTCCCACCTCGTCAGGGCAGATGAGCAGCCGGAAGTGCAGCAGGTCGTCCTGGTCAGAGAAGTCGATCTCACACGTCTTGGGCAGGTTCAGCTCGTTGATGTC